TTAAGTTCTTATTGGTAGTACAGTGGTGCCTCGCTTAGCGATGTTAATTGGTTCAAAAAAACACATTGCTATGGGAAAACATCGCTAAGCGAAACACCATTTCCCATAGGAATGCATTGAAAACCAAATAATCCATTCCAATGGGAACGGATTACCATCCTTAAGCGAAAATCGCCATAGGAAACATCGCTAAGCGAAACGTGGTTCCCCCATTGGAATGCATTGAATAGGTTTCAAAGCATTTCAATGATTTTGACAGGTCCGTTTTCGCTATTTTTAAAGTGTCTTAAAATGTTCAAAAACTGTTTAAAATGCTTGGAATCATTAGTGCACCCTGTAAAACCTTTGCAAATTTAATTTGGCTTTGTTCTGAGTCTTCGTTAATTTTTGGTGAATTCCCCCCCCCATTGGAATGCATTGAACTGTAGGTTTGACAGCTAGATATTTAAGAAATGCTTTTACCAATTCAATTCTCACACACCACAACAGATTTGAACCCTGAGCCCTAGTCTGTCACTCTGTCCACTACGCCACACTGGGCATCCTAAAGTATCTAGAGGATACCACATTACAGAAATGTTGCACTGAAGGATCATTGAAAGACCATATTTTCCCTTATAAACCCACCAAAGTTTTAATATTTTTGAGAGGCCTTTCTCTCTGCCTGAGTTCTTCAGTGACTAGTAGACAGCCCTCCCTCATTCACCCTGCCTGCTGGCTGGCAGGCAGACAGAGACCTTTTGATTCAAACAGATCTTTGGCATATGAAAGGGGTTGTAGTTTCTTTTTACTGCCATGTGTTTTAGACTGTTTTAATGTTTTAATTGTGTTTGTTTTCATCTGCATTTTAATATTGCAAGCTGCCTCAAGTCCCATGTTTCAGCTGAAGAGTGAGGTATAAATTTAGCTTATTAAGTATTAACAGCCACACATATGAAAGAGGGGAACGTCACATTTTAAAATAAAAGGCACACTATGAACCAGAAAGCATGTGATTCAAAACATACGTGGTTGTAAAGGCTCATTTCTGCTGTTGTTGTTCTCATTCTAACTGCTGCGTATTCTCACCACTTTTATGAGTTCGGATTCTGTTTACCTGAAGGTCTAAAACAGTGAAAGAGGTCAGGTATATAAAAATGTTAAGTAAATGAATTCCTTTCATTTTGGTCCGCCTACAGCAGATGCAGCCCACAAACCTCTTTCAGTCCAGCAGCCTGACACAATTAGCTGCCACAGTTTTATTGGTTTTAAAGGGACTAGATTGGTTTTCGAAATCGAGTTCATGGTTCAGGCAAAGAAAGGGCTTTATCTGATGCTCCACAGTTGCTGCTTGGGACATCTGGTGAGGCATTGTCTTGGGTGGGGGACGGTTGTCCTGCTTTTGTTAACCTTTGGCCTTTAAGTCACACCACAGAGGCGCTCTTCCTCACACGTCATCACATCAAGCAAGACCTTTTTATTCCCCCAATTCCGCAGGTGAGAGAGCCCAAGGACTCTGCTGAGTGAAGAAAGCACGCATGACTCCGACCTGAAATTTTAAGCTGCAGTGCCCTATCTATAGCTATACCTGACTACACCGTTAAACGAGAATGAGATGAGGAGTTTGGATGCCCTCCGCATATTGTACTTCAAAATAAGTAGGGTGACCTCAGTGGCCCATTGACCCTGTTCTTGGAGGGAAAGCCAGAGGGATGTTTGTGCTGTCCAGGTCTCTGCGCCCCTATCCTTGGGGGGGCTACATGCCTAGTTGAGATACAATAGGAGGGGAAAATCCCCTGTGAAGAAAATGCAGCTTCAATAGTGTGCCTAAGCAAAGAAAATAGAATTCAAATTTCACAGAATGAGGTATGATATCTTCAGTTCCTGGTTTCCATTCAGACTCTGAATGCTTCATTTGTGGCAATTAATGTAGATAAAATAGGCAAGATGGTTCTTCAATGTGCTTTGGGAGCAACCATTTGCTTCACTAACACATGTTTTATTAATATCTAATGATAACTAAAACCTCCAAATGTTTTAGGTAAAGGTAAAGGTTCCCCTTGACAATTTTTGTCCAGTCGTGTTCGACTCTAGGGAGCGGTGCTCATCCCCGTTTCCAAGCCATAGAGCCAGCGTTTTGTCCAAAGACAAACTTCTGTGGTCACATGGCCAGTGCGACTTAGACACGGAACGCTGCTACCTTCCCACCGAGGTGGTCCCTATTTATCTACTTGCATTTGCATGCTTTTGAACCATTAGGTTGGCGGGAGCTGGGACAAGCGACGGGCGCTCACTCCGTCGCGTGGATTCGATCTTACGACTGCTTGGTCTTCTGACCCTGCAGCACAGGCTTCTGCGGTTTAGCCCGCAGCGCCACCATGTCCCCATCCAAATGATTTAGGAGCCCACCATATGGAAGACTGCCTACACCTGCATGAACCTCCCTAGGATATAGGGTTGGCCACAAATATTTTGCCCAGGGATCTGTCACTAAGAGTCCATTGTTCTTAAGGGCTGTCAAGTCGGAAATGACTTGCAGTGACCCCGCTAGGGCTTTCAAGATAAGTGAGGTATTTAAGGAATAGTTTTACCTGTTCCACCCGTCCAGGGAGTTTGTATGGCAGAACTGGAATTCGAACCCAAGTCTCCTGAGTCTTAGTAGGTAACTCTATACACTACACCACACTGGATATCCACCTTATTTTATAGGCTGTATTTTAAACTAGTGCATTTTGATGGGCTGTTGTTGTTGAAATAAAAATCTTCTGATATTTTAGTCAATTGTATTTTTATTTCTATTAACTCATGTTTCCTAGTTTGCAGAGTGCTTTGAAAAAGCTTTCGATTGAAAGGTGGTCCTGAAATATTTTAAATACATAATGAAAGAAGTTATACCTGGGACCTGAAACGGAAAACAAACTAGTAAGAGCTAAGAGATGCAGTGTTCTGAACCCTTAAACACTCTTTTGGCTTCCCCAGATAACTGTACCCTAAGACTGACATCGTTAATGTAAACATATTTCTTGAGTGAAGAACTGCAAACACTGTCATTTGAGACGCAGAAAGCCACTTCAAACAAACACCTGGTGAGAACAAACAGAATGGAATGGAGGACAGACTTTTCAGCAGAAACAATAGCTCCAGGTCAGCCTAGGTAAGTATTCAAGACAGCAAGGAGCTTTCTCTCCCCTCAAGCAAAACAAATACAGTACAGTACCTGGCTTCACTGGAATACAATTTCAATGGAAAAGTGTGAAATTATCGCCCTCTAGTGGAACCTCAGAAACAACAAACTTGGAAAAGGAACATGTTCCTTGACTCGTCTCAATCGGTCTCTGGAGGTTGTGTTTTAATAGGAAATTACAGTTATTGATTGCGTTTTACCACCAGCAGGTCAGAAGAACATGGGGCAATAGTCTCTGATCAATTCTGCTATTGCTGCTTTAAAGTATGTATAAAAAAATGAGAAACAAAGGCAAAAAAACACTTCCCATAAGGGAAGGTCATAAGCCCTGGAAAATTCCTCAAATGTTCCTTAAACGCCCCTTGAAAATAATATTTCAGTGTAATTACATGCTACTCATTGTATGTTATTTCTTACACATAAAAATCAACCATGTAATGACTAGGTTTGTAATTAATGGCTTCGCCATTGTCACAGTATGGTCCTTGGCAAGGGCAAGAAATGTCCAGGACGGAAGAGCTGCACTTGGTGATCCCTGAACCTGAATCCAAAGGGGCTGCATGTGGCTATTGCTGCACTGCTAGCATTTGACAGAACGGCAGGAAACTACCTTGTTCCCCTCGCTCCAGAATTTTCTGGGAAAACAAAGTGTGCAGAGAATTTGGTAGAAGCAACTAGAGAGGGGCCACAAACCACAGGAAAGCGACTGTATGAGGCCTGCAGGTTGGGTATCGCCCATCTCTGATGTAACAGTGAGGGAGATGAACCAAAGACTTCCTAGACAAAGTACTGAGGAGGACCTTAAAGGAGATAAGGGAGAAGAGGAGGCAGAAAGACACCATTGGGGCTGCCTTTTTCAACTCTACCTGGCGATGGTAGGAGGATTGAGCCAGCAGAGACTGGTGCATGCAAAGCATTGGTTCCATCAATGAGCATGGACAGCAACAATATCCAGAACACAGCATGGTGTGTGTGAATGAGAAAAGAACTGAATGAGAAAAGAAGCTGATTGTGGCTTCTTACTGAGGCCTGAAAGAACACAAGGATCTGTGTTATTTACTGCACTCATTGTTTCCTGCTCTGTGAGAACATCTGTTGTTTGGAGAGAGCAAGCAGTTGGCAGTTTTGTGGAAGCCAGGGCTCCCCATCAGCTGTTCACGTCAGGCCACTTTTATCTTTCCTCCTTTTACCATACGCCATGTGCTACATCAAGGAGCGGCACCTCTTTCACATGCATCAATGTAGCATTCCCATTTCATCTTCTTTATCAGCCCCAGATAAAGGAGGGGTGCCATACTCATGCCAACAGACAGGCATGTCATAGCAGGACAAGAGGGCAGAATTTTCAGCTGCTAAAATGTCACAGATATTAATTTTGTGTGTCATCAGAATGATACACAAAATTAAAGGTTTAAATGAAAGGTTAAAAAAATAGTGCAATGTAAAGCTATTTAAAATTAACTGATGGATGTTCAAAAAGAAACAATTCCTTTTAAAAAGTATGAGTTTCCCTGCATTTACAATAACATTGTGTAGTCAATAAATTTTCAATGATTTTTTTTTGTCTAAACCTGGAATGACTGGAGGAGTACGTTGCAATGTAGTTGCACCCTAAGTAAGATGAAAAGAGCAGTTCCCATTATTTTGGTGGGGCAAGCTGGTCAGAGCTTAATTTAAGACCTACTGATTTCAGTGGGGACTGTATACAATTGATCTGTTATGGATCCAACTACTAATTTATACAGAGGTACATAGACAATTGACATGTAACACTACTTACTAGTCTAGAGTCTTTCTGTTATATGAACTCATCTAGATTTGCAGTAAGGCTATTAGATGTCTTTTCAAACATATAGTTTTATTTCAGTGACTTATTTACAAACTTTACAGACATGTCAAAATAGTGTCACTATTGTCACAATACATTGCTTACCCTCCCCACTAAAAATACAATTGCTTGATTTGTAGAAACCACACAAAACCTTCTGTCATGACAGTAACTTAGAAAGCAAGTCAAAGATTTATCAGTCTCACAGATGAACCGTGAAGTTTCACAGTCTGTATGAGCACAAATATTTACCACAATATTCTAAGAAGGCATGTTTTAAAATAAAAAGGTTTCTAACTAAAATTTCTTAGGTTCCAAGTAGGTAAGACATCCATAATACCAATTATTCCAGAATTTTCAGTACAATAAAATTATCATAGATGTTGCAAAATCCTTAACTGTGCTGTATTGGTTGGCAATGCTGTGCTGTTATTTTTCCTCTCTACTGCTCCAGTTACAAAAACATGGATCAGAAGATGCCCGTGTTCATTAGTGAAGTTCTAAGCAGTCAAGCGCTGTCCAAATTCATCGCTGCTTCTTTTTCTTGTTCTGTTCATCAGGATCTAGCTTTCGTTTCTTAGATGAAACAGATTCACTCTTTTCATCATCTTCAAAGAAAACAAAATTTGTCAATGCAAAAGCACAGTTAAGCTACAGATGTGAAAAACCATTTGCACACAGAAAGGGCATCAACAGGTCTGAATGACTAATGAATACAATACCAAGATAAAACCTGCCATTAAAAGGACTGACGGATTTTAGATGTTCATAAACTGAACATAGGTTAGTGATGTGATATGGCTGCAAAAAAAGGCTAATGCAATTTTAGGCTGAGTTAACCTACAGGTTTTTTTTAATGTTTTTCAATTATTTTTATACTTGATTTTTTAAAATCTTAATATATATTTAATTGTTTTTTTAAATGTGATATTTGTATTGTGTTTTTAGAATTCTTATTTTATCTGTTCTCCCCTTGAGTCCCCTATGGGGAGAAAAGTGGCAAATAAATGAATGAGTGAACAAACCATAATCTAAAAGCCAAAAGTAGACATCATTTTAGTTTCTTCTGCATTCGTTTTACAACCTGGAAAGTTATTTTTAAAGTAATTTGGTCCAATACCCCTTACAGCATTTGGGGCATTACTGACTGACTGACTGATTGATTGGACATATATACCACCTCATACTGCTAGAGGACTCTCTGGGTGGCCTAAAACATAATAAAGCAAGGAGCACGTTGTCTCCTCACCCAGAAATCTGGGTACAAAACATTTTTAATGTTTAAACATTTTAAAAACAGCGCCCACCATCTTTCTGGAGATTCATGTGAATGCAAGAGTAACTGCAGAAGTTGCTAATTGACGAGGTGTGGGCTGTATTTTGGTTGTGAGCTGACTGTGCCCAGTAACCCTGCCCGCACACACCTTGCACATGCCTGCATGTCAGTTAGCCACAATTAGCCATGGCAACTTCCACAATTCATCTTATATCCAACAGGATTTTGGCCAGTACTGTATTTAAACATTTCAAACAACACTTGTTATGTTACTCGTGATAATGTATTAGGGAGGAATTAAAAATATATGCTCAAATACTTTGCCTTTCTCCTCCCCTGTGAAAGAAAAGTGAGAATTCTCTTGAGAATTATACAGAAATATGGGGGAATAAAAAGTAAATGTGCCTGTGTGAGAAAAGGGGTGGAAAAGCAACACCTTCCGCCCAAGTGCCATCCCCGCTACCTTGGAGAGGGGAGGGAGCCCAAACCACCACAGCAGTGGAGACAGAAAAAGAAGCAAAGGAGAAGCTCCCTGTTGGAAAAGAAAGGGAGGAGAAAAAGGTGGGAAAACTGGAACAGGATGGGAAAGAAGAAAAAGGGGGATACTATAAATAGAGTGGGAGAGTGAGAGAAGAAAAGTGGAGAGGCCAAGGAAGTAGAAACAAGGTAAGAAGGACAAGTACTACTCGAGCAATGATAATAGATTTGATTAGAGAACCCTTGGATTCAAGAGTGGGAAGAGGAGGCCAAGAGAAGGAGAAATTATCACCCTCTCAGAAAGCCCTCTTACTGGGGGGAGTGTGAGAGTGGAGAGTGGAGTAGAAACATAAGAGAAGAGAGAACCCAAACAGAGAAAACAGAGGAGAGATAAATTGGAATGGAGACCCCCCACAGCACAGCAGGAACACTGGGCCACGAGATGGTGGGGGACCACATCCACAGAGAAGACAGCCCAAGAAAGAGAGGGGTGGGGAGAAGATGCATTGCCCCTAATGTACATGCTGTTCCCAGGGCACCCGAATGAGGTGCTGAACCAAAGGGGAAAAGATCCCAGAACTTGGGGAAGTTCAAAGTTTCTGAAGTTCATCCCATAAACTTTCCTCTCCATGTTGGAGGGGGAGGTGAAAACCGGATTGTTTTGAAACTGTTAATACAATGTTGAGTGGATATCAATTAAAAGTTGATGATTTATTTGTCGAAGGTGGGGGGGAACAAAAGGGTATGTGTGTAGCTGAATTCTCACAGCCTGGTATTTATTCCCCCACCCCTCCACAGCAAACATATAAAGCTGCTATCAGGTATTCTGCTTGTTAATGTGCGCTTCTTGTAAGGGGCCTGTGATACACTGTTAGTTAATACGGTATTATGATTAGATTCAAAACTATGCCATGAAGATCACAGTCAATGGGAGGTAGGAATACAAGCTCTCAAATGGAAGAAAAATCCTAATTCTAGTACTCCTATACAAGGAACACCTACAGATTACTTTCTCTGTCCATGAAAAAAGGTGGCATTACCAGATTCCACATGTACTTGCTCTTCTTCCTCCGCTAAGGAGTTCATCTTGTTGGCGTGCCTTGGAGCATCATCACCATTATCTTCATACATATTAGACCATTTGATGGCCATATCAAGCTCAGGAGGAGGTGGTGGCTTTGATTCTTTGATAGTGTAAGTCTCAGGAGGCGGCACAGCATTGGTAGTCCATGCCTTGAATTCCTTAGGAGGCTGTTGAAAAGAGAATGTCAGATGAAAATACTGGAATACCAGAAAATCAAGTGCAGGAATCACGTCTTGTCCTACCGATTAAAAGCATGCATACAATCATTGATATGAACTGCTCCCATGTTGGAGAAGATAGTCAACTTGTAATATGTAACTGAGGCGCTGATGTGTGAATTAAGCGGTGCACTATCAATTGCGTGACAATTCAATTATGTAAATAGGTTAATCCTCCAGATGGTGATGGACCAACTCTCATCAGCCCAAGCAGCATTCCCAAAGGAAATTCTCAGCTGACAGCAGCTGAGAATTACAGTTTCCACATTCCTGCTTTAAACTTAAGCTAAGCTATTCCTTTCAAGGCAAAATAAAAAGGAAAACAACAATAAATGACATTGATTTAAGAGAAAAGTTCCACCCTCAAACCAGACATCATGGTCACACTGAAGATTTAAAAAACCAATCAAACCACATCAGCCAAGTTTTGAAACAAAATGTGGTGTTGTACCTATAGCACATATACAACTTGTAGAGTAAGTAAATGGTAGATTCTTTCATGATCTGTAGATCTGAATTTGTTTCTAGTTTTTATTTGTATATTAACAGTAGTAACTTAAAATACAAAATAAAACACCATACCAGACTAAGTATGAGGAATGTCAGAAGAGTGTCAAAATATTTAACACTGCGTGAAGCTATACAGAAACAATGTGCTGCATAGATCATGCCTTTTCATAAAATACTTACTAAAAAGAGGAATTTAATCCAATTTAATCCAAACCTTGACAGTCAAAACCTTGACAGAACCTTCCAGAAAGCACAGCTGGAGGACTGCAGGAACTACAGCATACTCCAAAAAAGGTCAAGTGTCACTTAACCTTTCAAACCACAATATTCTGAATACATAGGGAGGGCCATGTTACTGTATCAGCTGTGTGGGTACAATCTGATTTTTCGAAGTTTAAAACCCTTTCAGATCAGAATCCAGACTAGGATAATGCGTTTCTTAGGCCAGTCCACAGGAAACAAAAAATGTTTCCAAGAGCAAGATGCGAAGAAAAACTCTCTCTCTCTCTCTCTCTCTCTGTGTGTGTGCGTGCGTGCGTGCGTGCGTGCGTGCATGTGTGTGTGTCCGTCCGTCCGTAGGAGGGTCTAGCAGCAGCTGATCCGAAGGGTTGGAGGTTTCATGCACAACACAACAGTCCCCCACCACCACCTGCCGCCTCCGGAGCAGAGCCGACCCCTGGCAGAGCCCCCCAGCCCTACACCCCGCCCCACCGCCTGACCTCCTCCGGAGCTCGCACGACCCGACTTTCCCAGTCGATCTCCTTGTGCAACGGGTTGTAGAGAAAGGCGGGCCGGTTGACGCTGCGGAAGAGCTCGTCGGGCCCGGGCAGGCGCGGCTTCCCCTCGGAGAGCCCCTTCCGCGGCTGCGGAGACGAGGGCTCGGCCTTCCGCTTCACGCCAGCGCCTTCCTCGCCGTCGGAATCCGAGCCGGCGCTCGAGCTGCTGTCGCTGCCATAAGCCGCGAAGAATCCCAGCGGGTCCTTCCCCTCCGCCGCGGCCATGGCGGGGGCTGGTGCGCCGGAGATACCGGCCCCGCGGAAACAGAGGCGCGCCGAGGGGAAGGTTCCGGATCGCGGCCATGTGGTGGCGGCGGCGGGGAAAGCCCTCTCTCTGGAAGTCCTGAACAAAAGTGGGGAGGCGCACTGGCACCTTTAATCCCGGCCAGCGACGTATTGCACACAAACCTCGGCTCGGAATATCCCGCTCTTCTTGGCGTGGTGCGAAACAAGTTTATTGCGACTCATTGAGAAGTCGCAGGTGATTTCCCCCCCCCACACACACACACACCCCAGGTCCAAAAGCTGGGAACGTTGAGATTTCCCGCCCGCCGACCCCGTGCTTACCGTTTGCAAATCTTAATGCATTAAAACGAGTGCATTCATTAATTGCATTAATTGAAATCGCGGAGGGAAAGGGGGGGAACTGCTTTGTTATTTTGCCTTCCTTTTTTTAAAGGACCCTTTCCATGCCTTCTCAGAAGTGGCACAGTGACCTCTATCGCGATGGCTCTGCTGCCTTAAGAGATTTCACAGGGAGGTTGCTGGATGAAGTCAGGAGGGACATTTGTAGGTCACCTTGAACTCAGTAGGGAAAGGCAGAACATACCCTGTTTCCCGGAAAATAAGACCTAACCTGAAAATAAGCCCTAGTGTGATTTTTCAGGATGCTTGTAATATAAGCCCTACCCCCAAAATAAGCCACAGTTAAGTGAAACCCTTTGTGCCCTACACTGGGAAGCCCAAAGAACTATCTGACCTAGAAGGTATTTTAAATACAGTGGGACCCCCATATCCACTGAGGATTGGTTACAAGCCCCCATGGATACTGAAAACCATTGATAATAGTGAACACTAGAGAAAAGAGCATGGTAAAAGGGAAAAACAAAAAGAGGGGAATTTTTTTTTTAACAAGCAGTACCAGAACTAGCCAATTGAGGACGCCAAAGACCATACTATGCATTTTTCACTAAAGTACAGTATTCACAGGTCTCTGGCTCTCTATTTAATACAGTACATGTGAAAATAGCTTTTTTCTGAATTTTTTATTTTAATATTTTCAGACGTGGGTAAGTGAAACAGCGTATACTAACCCCATGGATATGGGGGTCTTACTGTATCTTATTATAATTTTAGTTCAGTTGACATTTTTTCTCTCTTAGGATTTGGGAACATAGATTTTCTGAATGTTGCTGGGCTGCAACTGCCTATTTCATGAGGGATGATGGGACTTGCAAACACATTGTCTGCCCCCCCCCATCCTGAATATACTGCAACTCAGGACAATACTTCATATGCATTTGATGTAACAACCTTTAAGCTATGACAGCTTATATTCTTTATGGTGCTTGAAGACATTTTTCTGTTTCTTCTTTTAGTTTAACACGACTAATACATCCTGCTTCAGAGCTACTCAGATCCCGGATTCAGGAAAAGAGATATACTGTACTGTATAAGTACAACCTTGAGCTGTTTAAGAACACACTTCACAAAGAAACAGCAGCACCCTATCTAAATTGAACCGTTTTTAAAAAACAGTTGCCAGATTTGCCACTAGACTTAGTACTTACAAGTTTTGCAATACCTCTTTTGCAACTACACCCATGTTATTTCCTGTATAGCAATGCATATTTCAAGTTTGGTTTTGCCATTTGATTTTGCATACAACTGACTATTCGGATTCCTCCCAATTTCCTGATTCTGCATATAATTCCCAACTCTTTCTGGATTTGAAACGCCAAAATTTAGTCGTGCAAGGAAGGGCACACTTGGCCATACCAAGTAATGTAAAGAAAGGAAAAAATAGTGAGACCATCAGTTATTATGGGAAGCTTTGATTCTTGTACTAAGAAGAATACTCTGTCTTCAACGAAGCAGCTGTTACTCTGGTTGCACTACAGTCCACTAGAGCTTTGATAGCAATACATTTTCCATGAATAGTCTCAGAACTCGTTTGGCAATACATTTTCCATGAATAGTCTCAGAATAACCAAACCTGATGTAGTTGTTGTTGTTTAGTCGTTTGGTCGTGTCTGACTCTTCGTGACCCCATGGACCAGAGCACGGCAGGCCCTCCTGTCTTCCACAGCCTCCAGAGTTGGGTCAAATTCATGTTTGTTGCTTCGATGACACTGTCCAACCATCTCATCCTCTGTCGTCCCCTTCTCCTCCTGCCTTCATACTTTCCTAACATCAGCATTTTTTCCAGGGAGTCTTCTCTTCTCATGAGATGGCCAAAGTATTGGAGCCTCAGCTTCAGGATCTGTCTTTCCAGTGAGCACTCAGGGTTGATTTCCTTCAGAATGGATCGGTTTGTTCTCCTTGCAGTCCAGGGGACTCTCAAGAGCCTCCTCCAGCACGACAGTTCAAAAGCAGCAATTCTTTGGTGTTCAGCTTTCTTTATGATCCAGCTCTCATTTCCATACATCACTACAGGAAAAAACTTAGCTTTGACTATGCCAACTTTTGTTGGCAAGGTGGGGGGGGTTTGCATCTCTTCTCTCTGGATTTTAAAATCTGTCACTGCCTCCAGATCTTCCCCTTCTATTTGCCAGGAGGTGATGGGACCAGTGGCCATGATCTTAGTTTTTTTGATGTTGAGCTTCAGAATGTTTTTTGCACTCTCCTCTTTCACCCTCATTACAAGCTTCCTTAATTCCTCCTCACTTTCTGCCATCAGAGTGGTATCATCTGCATATCAGAGGTTGTTGATATTTCTTCCGGCAATCTTAATTCCGGTTTGGGATTCCATGCCTTTCGCATGATGTATTATGCATATAAATTAGATAATCCGGGAGACAATGTTCAGCCTTGTCGTATTCCTTTCCCAATTTTGAACCAATCAGTGTTTCCATATCCAGTTCTAACTGTTGCTTCCTGTCCCACGTATAGGTTTCTCAGGAGATAGATAAGGTGCTCAGGCACTCCCATTTCCTTAAAGATTTGCCATAGTTTGCTGTGGTCCACACAGTCAAAGGCTTTTGCATAGTCAATGAAGCAGAAATAGATGTTTTTCTGGAACTCTCTGGCTTTCTCTACAATCCAGCGCATGTTAGCAATTTGGTCTCTAGTTCCTCTGCCCCCTCGGAATCCAACTTGTACTTCTGGGCGTTCTCGGTCCATATACTGCTGAAGCCTGCCTTGTAGGATTTTGACCATAACCTTGCTAGCGTGTGAAATGAGTGCAATTGTACAGTGGTTGGAGCATTCTTTGCATTGCCGTTCTTTGGGATAGGGATGTAGACTGATGTTTTCCAGTCCTCTGGCCACTGTTGAGTTTTCCAAATTTGCTGGCATATTGAATGTAGCACCTTAACAGTGTCATCTTTTAAGGTTTTAAATAGTTCGACTGGAATGCCATCACCTCCACTGGCCTTGTTGTTAGCCAGGCTTTCTAAGGCCCACTTGACTTCACTCTCCAGGATGTCTGGCTCAAGGTCAGCAACCACACTATCTGGGTTGTCCAGGGTATCCAAATCTTTCTGCTATAATTCCTCTGTGTATTCTTGCCACCTCTTGTCTTGTGCTTCTGTTAGGTCCCTACCATTTTTGTCCTTTATCATGTTTATCTTTGCACAAAATGTCCCTTTAATATTTCTAATTTTCCTGACCAGATCTCTGGTTTTCCCATTTCTATTATTTTCTTCTGTTTCTTTGCACTGTTCATTTAAGAAGGCCCTCTTGTCTCTCCTTGCTATTCTTTGGAAGTCTGCATTCAATTTTCTGTAACTTTCCCTATCTCCCTTACATTTGGTTCCCCTTCTTCTCTCTACTATTTCTAAGGCCTCGTTGGACAGCCACTTTGCTTTCTTGCGTTTCCTTCTCTTTGGGATGGTTTTTGTTGCTGCCTCCTGTACAATGTTACGAGCCTCTATCCAAAGTTCTCAAACACTGATGACATCCACATATTTCTCCCCTTATTGTATAATGATATGTTAAGACTGTAATATCATACTGCCTACTAATCATGAAGAATTATGGCCACATTTTCTTTGATTCTGAATACTTACATAATGGATCCTTCCCTATACTGTAATACTGCCTTTCATTATCCACATTCAAAATGTACTCATTTATACCCAGGAGAACTCCTTGAATGGAAAATGGATTTGCAAATACACTAGTCAGTGAAAACTTTCAGGCTACTTCAGAAGACTGTAAAGAAGCTGGGTGGTCTTACCTTGAAACTAATCAAAGCTGATAACTATGGGTATTGCCAGTTTAATATTTATTCTGGTGGTATGAGAAAGGTTTTCCTTCCAAAGCACAAAAATGAGACAGACGGTCTGTCTATTATAGGATTCTGTTTCAATCTGAAACCACACAGATTTTCCCAAAAATTCCACAGACTGGTCACAAAGGTGTCAATCCTCTTTGTTGTATACTCCTAGTATGATACTGATAGTAAACTACCTGTGTATGAAGTTTCTGTTTAGTATCAAGACTTATATAGAAATGTTTTCGTTGTAGATCAATTTGGTTAAATCTATAAAATTTACTTTAGAAGCACTAAAAAGGCTCTATGCCAGATATAGCTACTTTTCAAGTATTGACTCAAAAGAAACAATCTCCAAAAACTTTAAGGAAAACATGAAGTAGAAGCCAAAGTCAGCATGAGACTACACTAGCAAATTATAATTTTTAAATGTATCAACTGAGTTCATTGGGAATTAATAATTCTCAAGTGGCCCGTGAACTCTACAAGAAAAACAGGAAACATTTGTGGGCAATTGCACAGACAAAACAACTTTTCAGTTCAGCAATTTCCTATAAAAGCTTTTGTTGTACTTTCGAAAGGCTTAGGTTTTAAACATCCAGGATATAATATCTTCCAAAGATCTTCATTTAATACAGCAGTAGCAGTAACTGTTTGCAATTTACATGGTAGCAGAATTAAGAAAACGTGTACAATGTTACATGCACACACACATACGTTAATTCGTTCCAGCGAAATCGCTGTAGAACGAAAACGTCGTAAAGCGAAAATTAAAAAGCCATTGAAACGCATTAAAACCTGGTTAATGCGTTCCAATCGGCTAAGAACTCACCGTCCAGCGAAGATCCTCCATAGGGGCAGCCATTTTCGGGTGTCTGTGCAGCGAAAAATGGCTCCTAAACAGAGCAGGGAGCCATTTTGAGCACCCAGCGGCCATTTTTAAAACCCGATGATCAGCTGTTTTGGTCATCGGGAAGTGAAAATCGGTTCCCGAAACATGGAACCAATCATCGGGCAGCAAACCAAAATCGGTTCCCGAAACATGGAACCAATCGGGCAGCAAACCCCGCCATTCAAAATGTTGTTTTGCGATCGCTTTTGCGATCGCAAAAACCTCCTCGTAATGCGGATTCGTTAAACGGCGCGCCCGTCTTGCGAGGCACCACTGTAATATGGGATCATGTACACAAAAAAGGAAAAATCCTTCATGTAATTCTAATCCATAGGTAGCCACAAAGCTTTTCAGAAGAAGACAATGCTCTATAATGGTGGAATCATCGGCTCAGAACACAGGATTTTCTTATAATTCAATAATATTTTGAGAAGGTCATCAAAAGCAAACTTGTGATCTAACACTTCTCCAGAAGTATGAGTGGAGGTAAGCTGTGGGTCAATCACACTGTTGGGGAATAGAACAGACACCAAATCAGCCTGAGCTTAAGACAGGCCTAGTGTATTCTCAAGCAAGCAGCAACTTGCTCTCCCTGCAAGAAGAGTGAAAAGACTGGGCTTAAATTCCACACACACCTATTTGAAGCCAGTTCCACTGAACTGAATGGAACTTAAATCTGAGGGGGAAAATGCACAAGTCAAAGCTTTTAATATGACTGAACCTGATACTTTATTGCACCTTTTAATCCAATGGCTTGTGAAAGAAAAATACCATGTATAATAAATGTATCTCAAGACACCACCACCTTCCTGTGGCTATGATATGATATTAATGTTAAATTCTTAAAGGCACTTCTTCCCTGAGGTCCAGAAATTGGGCACAACAAATTTTATAGCAGAAAATTTGAAAAAGCACAGCAAATAGCTAAACAAAGTGCAGTGATGCTATTTGGATTATGCCCAGATTGTGACTATTGTTTTAAAACTGTATTCATCTGACATTTCAAAAACTATCACATTTTCATCAGGTCAATGTTCACATGTAATTCAGTACTATACATTCACAAAAAAACACCAGCAACAGTATGAAAGTGGGGGTAAAGGCCCAGAATGTAATGAATCCTGGAAAGCTACTCACAAATACTAGTTACAAGTCTTTTATGAAAAAATAAGCCCCTTTTCCTATCACTTATCCATAAGTTACCACCCACCCTCTGCCATGGAGATCATCCTACCTATATTTGCATGATCGAGGTAAGCTCCACCAAGTTCAAGGAGACATATTCCAGAGAAATTTAATGATATTATATGTTCCTTATACTGACATTGGAAAGAATATGAAAGTTAAGTGGGCTGCAGTCAAAGCCTACAACAAGAAGACTTTCTGGTCTTTTAAGTACCACAATTTTAATATTTTTTTTCTGCAACAGACTAACATAGCTGCTCTTGGAAATAGAATTTTGACCTTTGTTAACTTTGGTAAGTAATACTGCCTTGCTAAATACACCCTTAAAGTTTTCTTGAAGAAGAACTGAAACAGAATTACTCAGAAAAACATGTCTTATCCCAGCATTAATCACTTACCACTACAAGAAATACAGAAGTTGTTCACAGGAATGAGAAAAGGAGAGCTCCCATGTAGACTACTGAGCAATCTGAATGCATATGTGCATACTGTTACAAACCAAAAATACTTTTTTCGTGTGAGGATTCCTTTACTTAGTCTAGTTAAGGATAATGAAATGCCTTGTCTTATCATGTGGCATTTCATATAATGAAGTTGGAAGGGGCCTATAAGGCCATTCAAATCCAACCCCTTGCTCAATGCAGCATTCCCAATCAAAGGATATTTGCCGGGTGCTTATCTAAATTTCTCTTGAATGCCTCCAGTGTTGGAGCACTCACCACCTCTGACTAACTGATTCTATCGCAATACTGCTCTAAGTTAGGAAATTTTTCCTGATATTCAATTGAAATCTGTTAACTTGAGCTCATTCTTGTGTGTCCTACACTCTGGGTGGATTGAGATGAGATCCTACCCCTGCTCAGAATGACAGTCTTTCAATTATATGAAAAGTGCTATCGTATCTCCCCTCAGTCTTCTTCTCTCAAAGCAAAACATGTCCTGTTCTTTCAGCCTTTGCTCATAGGGCTTGGTTTCCTGTCCCCTGATCATCCTTGTTGCCCTTCTCTTGAACTTGATCCAATTTGTCAGCATCCTTCTTGAAGTGTGGTGTCCAGAACTGGACATAATACTCAAGATGAGGCCTAACCAGTGCCAAATCAAGGGGAACTAGTGCTTCATGGGATTTGGAGACAATAATTCTGTTAATGCAGCCTAAAACAACATTTGCTTTTGTATTTATTTTTGAATACTAGGCAGCAAGGCACAAATTGAAACTTACATCCAATATAATTAAAGTAAATGAAAGAAATTCTTACGCATTCCTTTTTCTATAATGATCACAATTTTCCTTTGGTAGTAAATTGCATGAGAGCAATTAACCAACAGTATAACTCACTTAACTAGTTTTTGGAGTTGTAGCTGTGTTAGTCTGTGCGAGTATTTAAAAAAGAAATACAAAAGAAAAGCCAAAGGAGAGAGAAAAAGACATTGTGGCACTTTAGAGATTAACCGCGGTATTTTAATGTAAACTTTTGTGGAACATAGTCCTCCTTCGGTCACTTAAGTAGAAATAAAAAATGATATCTTAGTAATCAACGTCTGAGCAAGATTCAAGAATTATTAAGTAAAATGGATCTAAAGGTGAAGAACAGAACCATATTAATGCTCTTTTAATTTAAACTTAATACAACTAGTGCACTTTTTGATAGAATTTATGAAATCCTTTCAAATACTTTGTTCAGCACAACTTTTCCTATATTTTCAAATGGGACGAGAATCCCCTTAAAAGATGCTCTACACATGCTTACTTCAGAGTAAGCCTGCTGAACTAAATGGCACTTCTAAGTAGGCATGCCTATGACTTACAGTAGTGCCTTGACTTACGAACGTCTCAACCTATGAACACTTTGAGTTACGAACAGCTCCGTCCACAAAATTTTGCTTTGACTTGCGAACAGAGCTTCGACTTATGAACGAAAAAGAAAAATGCGGGGAAGGTGGGAAATTTGAACTTCCAGTCAACCGTTGGCCAGTGAAGAGGCTGCTCGTCTGTTACCTCATTCGCCCCAGGAGTTAGAGAGTGTGGATACAGAGAGAAACTTCAGACTGCCTGGTACTGTACTGGTATGGACTGTATTTTTTTTTTGGCTTTTTTTTTATTTTTGACTTTCTTTTTTAAACAGAGAGACTGCCTGTTCTGGGTGAGTACACTGTATTTACTGTACAGGGGGGTTGGGCTAGGTGGGGGGTTATGTTTCTGTGCTGGCTGTTGGTTTTAAAATCAGAAAACTGTTTGCAAAGGTCTGGCTGGCTGTTGTGCTCTAAAGCTAAGTGACCTCTCTTTTGTTGGTGTTGGTGGGAGGGATTAAAAGGTGCTTGGTTTGTTTTAAAATGTGTTTTGTTAAAAATTTCCTTGGTTTAAAATGTGTTGTTGTAAAATGTGTGGGTTTAAAATGTGTTTTAGACTCCAAACTCTCTTCCCCGCCCCGTCTTTTCTCTCTCTGTCTTAAAAGCACAAACCTTTGTTTGAGGGGTCTGTGTGCCCGTGATTACCTTCTTTCTTTCTTTCTTTCTTTCTTTCTTTCTTTCTTTCTTTCTTTCCCCATTGTTCCCTCCCTCCCTCCCTCCTTTCCTGCCCTTTTTTTAACCTATGTTCATCTTAGGTTAAAAGAAGAAAAATTCTCCCCCTAGTGGTAGAGGACAGATTAACCAGTTTTGCATTAGTTTCTATGGGAACTAATGCTTTGACTTACAAACCGTGCCTCAACATAAGAACAAAAACAGCTAGAACAGATTAATCAGGTTTCAGTGCATTCCTATGGGAAATGCTGGTTTGACTTACAAACTTTTTGGCTTACAAACATCTTCTAGGACGGATTAAGTTCGTAGGTCAAGGCAGCACTGTGCTGTAAATTGCAATAATCAATGAATGCAGCATAATGAACCGAATATGTAATAATGGAACAGATATCATTTTAGTTTTTTAAAAAACTAAAATACTTATTGGATGCTGTCAGCTATTTCTCAATCAGGTTGCTCAATATTTTCTTGGTCCAGTCTAACTTTACTAAAAATCTTTTTTTGGGGGGGTGGGGGCTGCAAAACTGTACAAGGCACCTAAGCACAGTATTACTATTTAAACCTAAGGACAAAGATCACTGTGGAACCAGTGAGCGGGATCTTAGAGGCTGGAAGGCACTGTCACTTGAGGAGGTACATGTTTCCTCTTGTTCATTTTGCAGCTGTGGTGGCAGAGCTGGCGCTCCAGAATCCCCAGGTCCAGGAAGATTAGCGGAGAAAATGGAATTTTCCATGTTTCCAACCTCCGTAATGGGTAAATTCATGGAACAAAGAGAAGTGGCAGATGCAAACGCTGCTGTTGTATACTCTTCTGGCTGAAGAAAGGTGGCTTCTCTGTCTTTCCGGCTTTCAGAGATATTTGATTCATTTGACTGTGACCTAGAGAAATTGTTTGTTTGCTCACAGACTGAAGCCATGCAGCTGCTACAGCTCAGACCTGTAGAATAAAAAGAAAATACATTAAATAAATTACATAAAGTAGTTTTTTTTATCATTTTGCTTTTTGAAAATTGTATACAATAGATTATTATATATTACAAGTTTGGGGATCACTTTGCAAACCATTTTTCTTTTCAGGAATACAAATGCTTCCATGAACAAAATTATTTGTTTCTCCAATTGTATCTTCACATGACATTAAAGGTTCTTTTGAAGTTCAAGGAGGAGCGCAGACTCCTCAAATGGCCCTTGGGACATCAGACAAACCTCTCCTCCCCTAATAATAATAA